TGCAACAGAAAAAAAAAGGGGAGATAAATTCGCATATCACACTCCCCCCCCTGCGAAAAAAAAGACAAAGAAGAAAACCTCATTATCCGGGGTCTAATTTTTTTATCCATTTATCCCAGTACGTGTAATGATGTCCCTTTTTGGTGCAAAATTAGTGATGGTCCTTTCCATTTAACATTGAATAATGCTTTGAGCATGGGTCTTAGACCAGTTGTCTACCTTAGGAGATTTCCAATTCCTGGCTACTGATGTTTTCACAGCCATTAAGATGTGAAAAATAATAGGTCTAAATTCTTTATTGATCTCAGTCATATCCATATGTAATAGAGCCATACTTTGAGTTAGATTAATCTTTATTTCCAATAAAGATGATAAATATTAATTTAGTTCCTCCCATAAGGGTCTAATTTTCGGGTAATCCCACCAAATATGGTTGAAGTCTGCAATTAATTCATTACATCTCCAACAGTTAGGTGGGGCTATAGGATACATGTTTGCTATTTTATAAGGAGTTCTACACCATCTGTTTAGTATTTTGTAATGTGTTTTGTGTATATTTAAACAATGGTAAACTTTGTATAGCGTATTAAGCGAATTGTTCCATTCTTTCATAGTTATATCCTTTTCCAGGTCATGATTCCATTTAGTAATTGCCGAGGGGATTGATTTAATCTGAGTCTTGTAGATTATTTTTTGACATTGATTAGCCAAGTGAGTATAGTCTGACTGCGCGTATATATCTGAAAGAAGCTTAACTGAGGGTCCAAGAGGGTTACGTCTTAGATATGTATTTAGAAAGGATTTTACCCTAATATAATTGAACCACTCGTTGGGAGGTATATTATATTAAGTTTGGAGTTGTTCGTAGGATTTTACTCTGTTTCTTATCAGGAGATTAGATATTATTTTTATACCTCGCAGAGTCCAGGTTTCCAAATTTATATCTGTCATTAGATCTGACAATTTACTTAGATTTATGCCAGGGATAATCTTCTTTTTTAGACCAATTTTTTATTTTTTTTAAAAAGACCAGGTGGGAAAAATTTGTTGAACTATCAACGATTTAGAATTTTTAATACATTGATTTGTTTCTTTATCTATTGCCCATATAAGGATTCTGTAATCCCTATCTCCCGAGGTCAGAATCTCTTCTCTTTTATACCAATTTTCACTTATAGAGTCTTCCTTATTGGTCACTAAGACATGCGATAATAAATTAGCTTGTGCAATGTCTTGGATAATTGGAATACTCATACCTCCTTCATCTTTTTTCCTAGACATAATATATTTTTGAATTCTGGGTTTTTTGCCTGCCCAGATACATTTAGTAAATGATGTTTGGATTAATTCTAGCCACCTGTCTGGGATCTTTATAGGAATCATTCTCATAATATACGAGCATTTTGGTACAATATATGCTTTTAATGTATTTATTTTCCCTGACCAGGAGATTTCCAGAGTTTTCCATTTCTTTAGATTAAAATTAGTTTCTTTAATTAAAGGGAGGATATTATTCTCTATCCATTTCTTTGGATTTTTGGAAATGTTTATACCCAAATAATTAAAGTAACTTTTAACTTAACCATATTTATTTTCTATACTATCAATATTATTTTGAGGTGTATTTAAATATAACACTGTAGATTTTTCATTATTTATTTTATAATTAGAAAAGTTGCTATAATTTCTAATAGTCCCAACCACTTGATCAATGGGTTTCTGGATAGTTATCAGTACATCATCAGCATATAGCTTGATTTTTTGGTTATTATTTTCTCCAAGTCCTTTTATGCCCTGTCGCAATATTTCTCGAACTCTGTAAGGGGCCTGTGAAAGAGGTGTCTCCCTTGTTGGGCATTATAGTAGGTCTTAATTTGGAGGTACCGAAATCTCTCTATCCCTGTTGGGGTCTTGTTTTCCATTAAGTCGGGTAGTTGTTTGAGTGTAACCGTGGTGCACTATTGGTGTATGTGGGTTCGGCCCGCTCCGCCAAAGGCTGCCACATCCTTGGGTAGGAGCCCCCCTGCTACCTCGGGGTTAAAGAGTACTGGGGTCATCGGCCCTGGTAGTGTGGTAAGAGAGAGTTTTGTCCAAATTGCTTTCCAGATTTTCAGCGTTGCTCCGATGAGTCTGTGGTTCTGGGCTTGGGTATTATTCAAGAGGTCGTATCTCCAGACTAGTGCCGGGATCCTCTCCTCCATCGGTGCCTTTTCCATGCATATCCAGTGCTTGGGCGTGTGTGGGATATGCCACTCAACAATATGTAATAGGTGTGTGGCTCTGTGGTACTCCCTCATCGATGGTAGACCCGTTCCTCCCTGTTCCTTCGGTCTGTGAAGTAGAGTCCTACGAATCCTGGGCGATTGGTTGCACCATACAAACTTAAAAATATCCGAATCTATTTGTCGGAAAAAAGTAGTTGGTAGGCTGATTGGGATCGTTTGAAATAAATACAGTAGGCGGGGGAGGAGATTCATTTTAACGGCGTTCATTTTGCCGAACCAGGAGACGCATAGGCTAGACCAGCGTACCATGTCTGTCTTGAGTTGTAGTGTGAGCGGAGCGAAGTTATGGGTGTATAGGTACTTGAGGTCTGTCGGGAGCCAGATACCGAGGTACTTCAGTTTGGTGGTGCACCACGTGAATGCGTATTGTGTGCGTAGGTGGGTGGCCTCCTCCGGTTCGGTCGCAATAAGCATTGCTTCTGATTTGTTGGTGTTAAGTTTTAAGTTCGATATCTGTCCGTATTCCTGAAATGCTTTTAAGATGTTTGGTAGTGACACCAGGGGGTTGCTGATGAAGAATAATAAGTCGTCGGCGTATGCCGCTATCTTGTGTGTGGTGCCCTTCAGGGTGAACCCAGAGATGCCCCCCGTCCCGTCTGACTGCCCCCAGGAACGGTTCCAGGGAGAGGGCAAACAGGAGGGGGGAGAGTGGGCACCCCAGTCTCGTCCCGTTTCGGATCTGGAACATCGGTGATAAGGCCCTGTTGACTAGTATCCTTGCGTTCGGTATGGTGTATATTGACTTGATCCATGCCAATATGCATGGGCCGAATCCCATCTGCTCCGGGGTAGAGGTCATGAACTGCCAGTCCACTCGATCGAACGTCTTCTCTGCGTCCATGGACAGGAGAAGGGTGCGTCGATTTAGCTGTCTCGCCACGTGGATGATGTTCAATGCTCTGGTGGTATTATCTCTTGCCTCTTTTCCAGAGATGAATCCCACCTGGTCCGGGTCCACCAGTTCTGGGAGAAATCCCTGTATTCGTGTGGCCAGAACTTTGGTGAAGAGCTTAAGATCTGCGTTTAGGAGGGATATCGGCCTGTAGCTCGCACATAGCGTGGGATCCTTCCCCTCATTTGGGATAATCGTCACCGTTGCTGCCAGGGAATCTCTGGGGAATGCGCCTCCTTCTCGTATCGAATTTAGGCTTTTAAGGAGCTGTGGTAGGAGTACTTCTCCGAACTCTTTGAGGTATCTGGCCAGTAGCCCATCCGGGCATGGGGCTTTACTCAGCTTGGTAGATTTCAGAGCCGCCTGCAATTCCAAGGCGGCCCGACGTAGAGGTTGGGTCTGGCAGCGGTGGCATCTGCGTGTGTCTTTCTGTGTGTTCAAGTTTATGTCATGTCCCCTGCTTGGGGACCCACTCAAGGTGGTGCCGAGCAGTACTCGTCTCTCCCCGGTTCGGGAGGTTGCAGTAACTTGGTGCCTGTGGTCTGGCGGAGTGTGATGTCCTCGTGTGGGCGCAGTCTCTTCCGCCCACACCAGGGCCAGGTAGGCACCTGTCACTTGGGGTGCGCGCTGTCACGCATGGAGCAGTGTCTGTGCCTCTTTTTGTTTCGCTAGTTTAGCTCTAAGCTATGGATTGTTAACTAACTTTGTTATAACTATTAACAAGTGTAGTAGGAAATTGTATCTCTATTGTATCTCTATTAAGCCTATGTCCGCCTCCCTGGCCGGGTGGCCTATGTTGCACTAAGTTGTGTTGGTCGTCAGTGCTTTATTGTGGGTGGTACTTGGGTGGTTGGTCCGAGTCTCTGGGGGTCTACTGCACCTCTACCTTCGCTCTACTCTTTGGCTATTATATCCGGACCTGCGTCTCCCCATTATCTCTCCCTCCCGTCCCCCCCACTGTCCAGCTTCTCCCTGTGGGGTTTACGTGTTTAGCTGAGTGCCATCCTTGTCGGGTATTTCATTCTCGTCCTTGTTTGTACCTCTCCCCCCATCCACCCCTGTGTTGCTACGCATCTCCATATCATGTGTATGTGCGTGTGGGATGTGTGACCTTGCCTAATATATCACACCTTGTTAGTGCAAAGTTCTTCTAGTCCCGGGCTTCATATCCTGTATTCCCCTTTCTACCCCTCTCCTCTGCAACCCCTTAGTCCGTGGACCCATGTCCATGCATAGCTCTCCATTGTCAAGAAATTGCTCAGAACCGTGGTATTACCCCCCTCTGAGTTGTTTTCATAGAGTCAGCCCGGAGCTTGGTTCTGGGCTCTGGGCTGTCCATGCCCTGATAGGCCGTTGTGTCCCTCAGTTCCCTTCTGTTGTCTGTGATCCGGCGCCCTCTTAGTGTCCCCAGGACTCCCCTCCCAAAATCGTCCGATCCCCCTCTCATTTCCCCAGTCCCACTGTTTGCTCCTTGTACAGTTCACTCACCAGCCGCCTGTGCTTTGCCTCTCGCCACCTGCTTCTTACTTCTCTGCTCCTGCTGGGCCACCCCAGCGGCGCTGCTGTGGCGGGCTCCTGCCATGTTGTGTTCCTGTTGTGTGTAGAGGGGCCAGCAGGTTTCTCCTCGCTGCCAGTGCCTCCTCCGTTATCCAGTTTCGAACTCTAACCGATTGTAGGTGCAGTGCTCTGAGGAAG